ATCTAGGTTCCATTCTTTAATTGATGTCACTCCAAGCAATGTCTTCACAGTATTATTCTTTGCAACTGGAGAAAAAGTGTCCAAAAAGTCCACACCATAAACTTGTGTGTATCCTTTTGCCACTAATCTTCTTTTTATTTGGTGGCAATCGACAGATATCCCAAGTATTGTTTGCAATGAGGGCTGCCAATTCTTCTTGTGCAGCTCTATTCCAATTCTCATCTTGTTGAGTCACTGCAAACGTCTTTGGCTCCAAATGGGTTGTCATACTAAGAGCATAGGCTCTCCTGTCTTTTGTCAACATGTCATAACCAACACAGTCATCCATGGGGTATCTGCTTACATACCCCAAATGACAATTCTTCAGCCTTGCTGGTAGGGTGATGTTTCTGCGAGGCCTTTCTCTTATTGGTGGTTCTGCTTCATATTCTTTAAGGGGCATCAATTCTTGCTCATGAAAATCACTCACAGAATCATCATTATCCATCTTATTAGCTACATCATTATCATCATCAGACTCATCAAACAAGACATCAGATGCATCAGTCACATGAGTAGGACTACTGACAAGTGGATGACTCCCTTGTGAAGAGCTATGACAAGGAAGAGGAATAGAAGCATTTGGTTTAGTGGAAGAGGAAGAAGAACTATTGATACGGATGAATTGATAGGTAACTATTGACATGATTGGAATGTTGAGAGGATGGCTGCCGACATACTGGAAACTATCAGATGGAGGTGATGCAGATTGAGAGGATGGACTACTGACATACTAGAGACTATCAGATGGAGGTGATGCAAATGGAAAGAAGGAATTATGGGAATTTGCATATAATCCTTCATCATCACTTGATGGAACATGATTCTTAAAAGGTAAGATGTCCTCATTAAAGGTCACATCTCGTGACACAAAGAAAAATCATGTGAGTTTAAATCAAATAGTTTGTAACCTTTTATGTCGGCTGGAAAACCTAAGAAGATGCACTGTCTTGCTCTAGGTTCAAGCTTTGTTCTATCCTGGGAGTGAGTAGTAGGATAGTCTAAACAGATAAAAACCTTGAGATGTCCTAGGAAAGAAGGCAATTTGTGAAGTATTTGAAAAGGGGATTGATTCTATAAAACAGGAGTGGGTAGTTTGTTGATGATATAGACTGCATGAAGAACACAATCACTCCAAAATGACAAGGGGACGCCTGAAAGAAATCTGCTAGCTCTAGCAACGTTGAGAATGGGTTGGTGCTTACATTCTACCCTCCCATTTTGTTCAGGTGCATATACACAGGATGATTCGGGCCTAATTGTATAATTTTTATCCCCATTTCTCTTTGATGTTTGTTGCAACTGAACTCCAAAAGGGTTGGTTTTACGCTAGGTTCTTGTGTTTCCAGTGTGTTTCATATTCTAACAGGTGAAACCAACCCCGGAGTAGAAAGTTGGAAGAAAAGGAGCAAAGACCAGGCAAAGAGGAGGAAACAGCATGTGTTCACGGTCAGCCATTGGAGTTCACGGTCTCCAGAGCCATGAACTGCAACCAAAACCCGTGAACCAAAGAGCATCCAGAGGGGGGTTTTGAGGTTACTGATGCCAAGGCTGTTCACGGTCACTAAGACTGTGAACTGCAACCACAAACCATGAACCCCAGATGTGAAGCGATGCATTTTGATCCAGCTTACTGAGTTCAGGGACGCGTTTTGATGTTCACGACCGTGAACTAGGGCCATGAACTGGGCTCGATCTCAGTATTAAGAGCTAGCTGAAAGGAAGAAGAAGGGGGGAGACCTAGTGTGAGAAACTTCTTCTTCTTCAGATTTTGGAGTGAGAAAGTGACGAACCAAAGAAGAGGAGAAGCTAGGGTTTCATCTCCAAGCAAGGATTTGGGAGTTCCTCCCCCAAAGGAGGATCTCTTCAACACAAGGAGCAAGGCTTGCATCTCTTTGATGGTTTCCCTTTTCCTCTCTTGTGTTTTCCCTTCTCCTAGCATGGAGTAGTCACTTCTTTCACCTGGGTGTTTGTAAACCCTAGCTACAATTATGTGAATGCTTGTATGAATTGAATGAATAGTGTGTGGTTGTGTTTAATGTGAATGTGGAGGTATTATTCATGAATGATTGTGTTGTCTTGTGTGAAAGCCTATCAATCTAATTGCCATTCTAACCTAGGTAGAGAGAAAACCTCCTTCATTTCTTTGAAAGAAGCTTGAAAGCTGTGTTTTCTTGGGTAATTCGTTGCCTCCTAGTTAGGTTAACACAAGGCAAACCTCCTATTTTGTATTAGCACTTAGGGTTTGGTTGTGGGTGGCCGTCTGAACTCCAATTCGAGGGTGAAGTCTAACTATTCCTTGGTCAATAGGTAGAGAGGGTCACATTAGTGGCTTGGATCTTATCCCATTTCCTCAACCTAGAGACTAAGAGGGTAGCTTTGGCTTCTTGTTACACTTCCCTGCGGTTTATAACCCCCTCACCATACACGGTCATTCAATCCTTCAAGTCATAATTGCTAGCTAGGGGGAGCAACACCCGGGTGAAGCCTTCTCAATTAGTGTCAAATCCATTTCATCTTTGCAAAGTACTTTAGCTTCGGACCTTTGTTTTTACCAAAACTAATCCGCTAAATAATGTTTCAAACAATCAAAGTAGCAGTACATGCGCCGGCCTAGGTCGATATTTTAAACATACTTTCCCTATATTGCACCCATCTAAGGTTTATACTTGGGCCTTAGGTGGGATTTTATTGTGATAGTCAGAGCGAGTCACAAGACATCTCATTTTCAATTCCCATTTCAGTGTAAAAGTCACAAATTGAAGATTCTTTCCCCTGATCACTCCTGAATCTCTTTATAGTTTGGAATATTGTGTTTTGATCATGTTGCAAAAACCAATAAGAAGGGATCTGGTTTCAGACTTATGGCTCATGAGGTAAATCAAAACTGCTCGAGAATGATCGTCAACAACAGTGAAAAAATATGAATAGCCATCGTGAGATTCAATAGCTAATGGACCCCAGGTGTCCATATGAATTAAATCAAAGATGTCTGAAATCAAAGATGATCATCAACAACAGTGAGAAACCAGGTTGAAAGTAAAATTGGGGACCTGCAGGACATTGTGAAGAAACCGTCCTACAGAAAGCCTAACTAATCCTACATGACTAACTAGAAATTTGGCTTTGTTGGGGAGGTAGACATAGACATCAGAAACTGGAAGACACTTATGAAATAAATGAAGGGAACAGACTATATGATCTGATGCACCCGTATCAAGTATCCAAGCTGAAGACAAAGTAGAAGTAGCTGAGTTGCAGTAAGAGGACAAGAAAAATTTACCTACAGAATTGAGGAAAGTAGGAAGATGAGGAGTAACAGAATATGCCTTGTGATTAAGTGATGGGCTCTGAGGTGATGTTGGAGAAGTGGAGTTGGACATCTGCAGAATGCCTCTTAACCTGCTCATTTCTTCTGGTGTAAACCCTCCACTAGGATTAGTAATCATGTTTCCAAATTCAATATGTAACCCCTCAGACTGGCTACCTTCCTCTGATCCAACAGTTTGCCCAACAGAACCAGCAAACCGCCTTGCATTCTCTGCAGCTTCTCTATCTTATCTCTTTTTCTTAAGCCTCCAGCAGTCGTTGATTACATGGTTAGTCTTCTTGCAGTAGTTGCAGAATAACCCTTCTCCATCAATCCTAGCATGTGTTTCCCTACTACCAGTCCTCGAAGAAGGATTACTCAAGTGGCTACCACCAACAGCTAAAGCTACTAACTGACTGGACTTAGATTTATGGCTACCATCAGCTTTGAGCTTCTATTCATGTTGCAACAGATCATCAAATGCCATCGCCACTATAGGGAAAGGTTTCATAAGCAATAATTGAGTCTTAATCTGATCATACTTGGGATTTAACCAAGCAAGAAATCGAATTAAGTAGTTAGTGTTCTATTTATTCTTGAAAGCCTCCTCTGGTGCACAAGTTATCGGGTTCCCAGGAGCACATTGACAAGGTACAACGGGATTGAATTGACTGTACTCCTCCTAGTAGCCTTTCATATATGTGTAATATAGGGTGATTACCTTGCTTAATATGATGAATGTCATCTTCCAAGTTAGCCAATTTCAAAGCACTAGTTTGGCCATATCTGTCTTTCATCTCATTCCACAAAACCTAGGCATTGTCATGACTAAGAACACTACGAGCTATATCTTTCTGTAAGGCATTTGTATTCCAGCAGAGAACAATCATATTACAAGCATCCCAAACATGAAACAATGGATCGTTCTGATTTGGAGCAGGAATAATTCCATCGATGAAACCCAGTTTGTGTATCATTTTCAAGACAACCCTTATAGTCTTAGACCACATTTGATAATTCGGACCATCTAAGACCATAGGAATGACTAATTGAGCTATTTTTTCGTTAGGGTTGATATAGAAAAGGTTACCAAAGTTTAGATCTGAAGCAGCTACTCCAGATCCATTTCAAGCAGAGGTAGTGCCTGGTCCATTTCTAGCAGTAGTGTTGTTGATGTTGCTTCCATCAGTATACTATCTAAATTGAAGATGAGGTCCACTGAATTGTGGTGTTTGAGGAGGTGAGTTCGTCCCTGATCCTCTGTTTTCCTCCATTGCCCTAGATTTGCTCTGATACCATATAGAAAAGGTGTAGAAAGGAGGAAGGGTTTTGGAATCCTCAACATTCTTCTGCTGGGTTTCTTTTTATTTATAGCGTTCAGGTTTTACTGTTTAACCACCGGTAAGAATGACGTGGTTTAACGCCATTTCTCTAAAGTAGAGAAGTAAATAGTAATAATATAAATCCAAGACGTCGTCGTTCCTCTCTTGAATAGCTCCAGTTGATCACGAACCGGCTCCCACATCCGAAACGTTTCACCCAAACTATTCTTCATCTGAGACAGAAACGAGCGGCTTTCCCGCCAGTCCATTCTGCACAATCTGTTCCTGCAAATTCAAATCAATCAATCCTTTTTCCCTTATACTTCTTCACCCCTTTCTCTATTTTCTCTATTCTGGAAACAATGTGGGGGAAGGAAAAAAGAGACAACGACAATGAATGATGCCCACAATGGTAATGGCAGCGACATAGAAGGTAAGATATGTCTCTTCCCATTGCATATCAATTTTATGGTTTGAATGTGGGTTTTTGTTGGTTTTAAACTGAGCATTTTTTGGATTTTGATCACGAGAAGGAAGGGGGGAAAATACAGAGGCGGCCGGCGACGGTGATACGCCGGCGATGATAATGGCGATGGCCACAACAGTAAGAGGTAGGTGTTTCTCGGGTTTGCATGTCACCTTTTTTTGTTTTGTATGGGATTTCCTTATCTAATTTTTATTTTTGTTTTGAAATTTGGGGTTTCTAATAGAGGAGAGGAGAAGGAGCAAGCTCGGGCGACTTCAATGCTGATTATGGCGCCAGTGTCAGGGAAAGAGCCGACTCCGGCGGCTTGCAATTAGGGTAAAGCTTTTTCTTTTATTGTTTTAGTATATATTTATTTTGGATTTCAACGAGTTTCTGAGTTGTCTTTATTGGTTTTCGATTATGGATGAAGTAAAGGAGGCAGTGGGAATGGAAGGAAAAGAAGGCCTCCAGGCGCCCTGAGTTTCGTCCGAGGCGAGAATGCCGACGGACGTTAAATCTTCTTTTGGTGAGTTTTTTCTTAGTTGTGGATTGTGTTTCGGTTTGATTGGGGAGTATTTCAGTGGCTGCAGTGGTGTGTTTGTGGCTACTGTTTGGGATGAACATATAATAGCGATAGTAGTTTATTGGCTTGATCTAGGTTTCGAATTTTTTGAATTCGGGGGTTTTGGGAGATCTGGTTTGAATGGACATAAGATTTAGTGGTGTTCTAGACTCAAATTAGTAATTATTATGAAGCTACAAATTTAAAAAAATGAATTTTAACATGATAGATTAAAATACGTTTGGTTTGTGGTGATAGTGTAGCTAGGTGATTCGAATATGGAAATTGTGTGTTGAGGTGGTTTTTGGTTTTAGGCGTTATGTTTTGTGATGAAAGACTATGGAAATTTGGGATGTAGAGTTTTGGAGCTGTTGTTTGATTGCTTTTTGGTATATTTGGGGGATTGCGAACAAAAACAACAGATTCTGGAATACCTCTGAAAGTTTAAGTCAAGAGTCATGCGATTATGTTAATCAGATATGTTTTCTAACTTATGATTTTGATGTTAATTTAGTTTTTTAAATGAGTATACTAAGTAAAGCAAAGAAGTCGAAGACAAACTATAAATGGTTTTATTTGTGATACGTGCCTAAACATCGAAGTGCTTGAATGAGCAAAACTCAAATAGAAGTAGGAAGGAAGTAAAGCAATATGGTTTAGTTGATTGCTTCATTGTTATAGTGAAAATTTCATTTTGTGCTTTGCTTAAAGTTTCGATTAGGTAAATATTGTTCTTAAAACCGTTTTGTTGAAGAGATGTTGAAGTAGAGGTGGTATAGAAATGATAGATGATGGTGATGATTAGGTAATGAGATACCAACCTTGTTGCTTGTAGTTTAACGATGACTCTGCATCCTTTTCCTCAACTTCTGTGGATGTTTAATTGCTTCCTTTGTAATTTATTGCTGCTGCCTCCTTTTCCATTTTTTAGCCTGTTTTGTTGTTGTGCGGGTTTGTGAAGAAGCAGCACCCGTAGAAGTAGAAACTTGAGTTTTTTCTCGTCTCTGTTGTCTCTCTTTGTGGCGCTAAGTGGCTATGAAAAGAGTGGAATGAGAATTTTGTGGAGTTGTTTGTTTGTCTTTGATTTTTTTTGTGTGTTGTTGTAGCCAAGAAGAAAAAGAGAAGCAGAGATTTTGTAGAGGGTTCTGTTATGTTCTTGGTGTTGTGTGTCTGTTTGTGGGTTTTGAGCAAGCAGAAGAAGAAGAAAGAGCAAGTAAGAAGAAGAAACTTTAAAGGGAATTTGTGGTATCGTTTTTTTTTTTTTTTTGTCGATCAGAGAAGAAGGAGAAGAATTCTTTTTTGGTTCAGAGGGAGAAAAGAAGTAAGAAGTCGCCCCCCTATTTTTGTCCGAGTTTTGGTCCTCTATGTATAAGAAAGGAGAAGAAAGAATAGTGAGCAGAGATATGGGGAAGAAGAAAAAGGCTCCCTCTTCTCTGTACATCCAAAGCTCTCTTTTATAATAGAAAAACGCACTATAGCTTAGACTTGTGGTGTAATTTGATTGGTCTTGAGGGTAGTAGTCCAACTATATTTTTTTGATTGGTTTTTTGGGTTAGTAGACCCTATGTTCGATTGGGCTTGGCAGGGGTTGATTTTGGGTTTTGAATTATATTGACTGGGTTTGACCCGTTGACTTTGGGCTTTGACCTGGATTGGTCCCTAACCTGCTGACTGCATTGACTGTGGCCTTTGGGTTTGACTTGAGCCCAATTTTTGTAAACTAGATTTGACTAGTTGACTTTGGGTCTGATCTAGGTCATTTTATTTTGTACGATTGTAATGAATTATAATTGTGTGAGGTTAGTAATTCCCATGTAGAATAATGATAGTTTTAATAAAAGTTCTTTACCTTTATTTTCCTTTCATATCATTCTAAAACCGAGGCCCAAATTTTCAAAGTCAATTGTTGATGGATAACAAATATATTGAATTGATAAAAGTTAGCTATTGCTAAACTTGTTTAACCATGTGCCAAGCCAACCTCATTTAATCAAGACAAAATAATGGCATATGTCATCAAGATCCAAGTTCCAAGCAAAGGATGGTTTAAGGTTTGCTATTGCTAATCCAAAACAATGTGAGCTCTCAACTCCTTTTAATTGGTAACCATAATTAGTAAATTGCCCGGACAAAATGTGTTGTATACAGTTTCCCCCTTTGTATGTTCTCGGTAAGAGAGGTATACAGAGTTCCCTAAAGCACCACATTTTTTATAGTGTTAGGGATGAGTCTATTGTTTGGTAACGACGATTCATTCAAATTGTTTGGGATAAACTAGCTAAAAAAAGTTGAAAGATGGTATAAGAAAAAGCTCAAGTTGTCGGCATATAAGAAGAAGAAATTGAATTAAAATTCAATCATGATGCTTCGGGATATGACGAACTGAACATTTGTTGATGGCAATTATAGGATTGTCCGGGATATGACATGCTAGACATTTTTTAGGCAATGCAATCAAGTTGTTCAGGATATGACGGGCTGAACATTTGTTGATGGCAATGCGATAGGGTTTTCCGGGATATGACATGCTAGAAATTTTTTAGACAATACAATCAAGTTGGTCGGGATATGACATGCTAAACATTTGATGATGGCAAAACTCTCAGGTTTTTCGGGATATAACACGCTAGACATTTTAATAGACAATGCAATCAAATTGTTCAGGGTATGACATGCTAAACATTTATTGACGGAAATGCGATAGGGTTATCCAGGATATGACATGCTAGACATTTTCTAGGCAATGCGATCAAATTGTTTAGGGTATGACCTGCTAAATATCTAATGATCGCAAATCTCTAGGGTTGTCCGCGATATGACATGTTAGACATTTATATGCATGGTGATAATGAGTATGAGAGTGTTTTGTGAGGCAGTCATGGGATGAGTAATGTTAATAAATGATAGTGTTGTGTCATGGAATATAGTTGAGGGAAAGAGTGTGACAAAGCCTGATTTTTTTTCTTATGGCGGTAGTCTTATTTGGATTTTTTTGTCCAGTGGTAGTATAGACTGGTTTGGCCTTTTTTATATCATGGTGGCCTTATGGCCTAGCTTGAATTTTTTCCTGTGATGGTATAACTTGGTTTGGTTTTTTTCCATGGCGGTAGGACCTATGTTAGTATTTAGCTATCTTGGCGGTCGGTTTTGAGTTGGTATTAGGTATCTTAGCTGTAGGGCCTGAGTTGGTATTTAGGTATCATGACTGTATGGTTTATTTTGTGCTTGTTGTGATCCTAGTAGCGTATAGCTTGAATAATCATGTATGTCATGGTGATAAAGTTCATGAGACTATGACGAAGGTTAACTACACCACAGGTGGTATACAGTTGTGTCCTTGACAGCAGTCGGTTGAGTCTAGGTAGATGTTAGGTACGTGCCATTGATATTGGTAAAGATTTGAATTTGACTTTAGCATGATATGAAAATGCAAGGTATTTTGTGATATGATATGATGCTAATGCAAGGTGTTTTGTAATTAGTCATATGATGAATGATGTTAAATGATTGTGCGAAGAGCATGATGATGTCTTGAAAATATGCAAAGGGAAGAGTATGATCCCTGATAATGGCTTTGATATTGTTGACACCTGAAATTAATTTGGCCTAAATTCAATGCCGCAATTATTAGTCTCGACATTTAATTCGATACCGCATGACAAAAATGGTGTCGTTTGGAGACAAGCAACGCCGCAGCGAGATCCAACGATGTCGCACAGCTAGAAAATGACACCGCAAGGAAACTCAGCGGTACCGAGACACTTGAAACGACATTTTTTACTAGAAAACAATTGTTGTGAGACATGGGCCGCAAGATTGGTATTGTTGTTGGAAAAGGAGTGTGTTATTTTTTATTCTTTATCGGAGGAGAGAGAAACGACACCGCGTAGAGACAAGCGGCATCGCGGATGGGTAAAAAAATACCGAGGATTAGAAAACGGTACCGCAAGTAGGCTCAACGGTACCACTGTACTAGCAAACGACAGTGTTTAAAATAAAAAAACAGTGTCGCAAAAGGAAAAGCAAACTGAGCCGTTTTGGCGCTAACGATGTCGTTGGTCAACACACGAGTTTGACTGCAGGTCAACAGTGATGGCCGACTTAATTAATTAATATTTTTAATGATTATTTACGACGGTGTCGTTTAGTTGAAAACGATGCAGCAAGAGGTGTCAACAACACCGGGGATAAGAAAACGACAGTGTTTAATATAAAACAATGTCACAGAGAAAAAGCAAACGAAGCCGTTTTGGGGAAGGAAACGATACCGCGAGTGAGACCAACAATGCCGCAGTAGTTAGGACGAAAACGTTTAATATTAAAATGATGTCGCTGGTAAAATCAAGCTGGGCTGTTTAGTTAAAAACGACACCACTTAAGGCATCAACGGCGCCGCGATATTACTAAGCGATGTCGGTTAGTTAGAAACCATACCACAGCGGGTTGGATTTTGGCGAGGCCCGGCAAGCACAGCGGCACTGCAAGACGAGAAAAACGGTACCGTTCAGTAGAGAACAATGTCGCGGAATAAAAAACGACATTGTTTGATGTGACCGAGACGAGGTGGTTCAAGGTCGGCATCGATTAGTGAAAAGCGATGCCGCGGTATTGGTGAGCGACGTCGTGTGATTAAAAACAATGTCACGAGGTTCATGATATTGTCATGGATGATGAGAACGATGTTATGAACGAAGGAGGTTTATTCAATCAGTTTATGGGGGTGAGACGGCATCGTTGCATGAACAAGGTTGTAGGATTTGGCTTAACATCGTTTTGCCAAGTTTCTGCGTAGCGAAACAGTTTCGGGGACATGTGATTATCTCGCTGCAATGAGGAAGTCACCCGCACGGTTGACAGGAATGAAGACGTGGGAGACAAATGAGCGAAAGCGGTTACTACGACTACGGGCAGAAGATTGCGGTATAAACATCAGGAAGAGAGAAAAGCTCAAGAAGACAAAATCAAATCTCAAATTCCACCGTCGCAGACTTACCTTTTTCTCTCTAGTCTCGTAGAAATTCTCTGTCAAAGACCTCCTTTGCAGAGTCGTAGTAGTCATCGTAGTCGTAGT